TGGGATGATATGAGTGTGTGAGAGAGAGAGAAAGATGGATGGTAGAGTTATTAAATATTATTTGAAAATGTGATAGAATTGGTTTAGTGTATTAGTTTGTGTATTAATTGTGGGAGTTTTTGTTGAATAAGACCACACTAAATTTGGCTTGCAGCCACAGAATTGAATAAAAAACAGAAGTTTGAATCAGCTGGTGTTTGTATACGATTGGTAGAATTTGGCAATGTTGTTGATCAGCTGAGTTTTGAAGAGTAGACTAATAGTGCACATTTCTGCATCTTCTCTACTGGCTTATTTTCAAAAAAAAAAAAAAAAAATACGTTTGATCCAATGCCAATATCTTACCTTATAAAGGGAAAATTTGGCTCTTATTAATTGTAATAAAAAAATTTTCAAATGATTGTATCTCTAGTAATTTTGTTTTTGTCGTGAGTAGTAGTAGTAGTAGTAGTAGTAGTCAAGCTTTCATTCATTCATTAATCGATAACCATAATTTGGTGGTGATTTAAAAAGGGGGGAAGGAGGGGGGAAAAATTTTGTTTACTTTTCTATTATAACTTTTATTACGGTCGTATTTTCGCAAAGATTAATAATGATAATAATAATAATAGTAAGAGTCTATAAAATTTTTGTTTGGGAAAATTTATTAATCTAAAAATAGAAAGAAATTGATTAAAAAAAAAATTTTTTTTTTTTTTTATTTGCGATAACTGCTTGATAAAATGAAAGAAAAACGTGAAGTTTGTGTTCAAATATTTCTTAAATTACACGAAAAGGTATCGTAAGTTCAAATTATAGGCAAAAAGCTAAGGTCAATTGATTAATTATTATTAATTGTAATCGTCGAATGAAATTTTATACCAATATGGGGGGTACGATAAATCCATAAATTTTTTTATCGTCTGCTAGTTTAACGGGAGTTGTAAAATTTTCAATTTATCATGTATTGTTAAATAAAACTTTGGAATAAAACAAAAAATAAAACAGTCAAGTGTCTTCTTGTTATTTTTTTGTCATTAAAAAATTGAAAGACTGTTAGACATTTGATGGTGGAAAATAAAAATAAATGAAATATGATCCGAGCTAAATTTAAAAACAAAACAAAACAAAACAAATATCTAAAAATAAATATTCCTTGTGTCGGTCATTAAACACTCAAATTCATTAAATTCGTTTAAAAAGAAAAAAAATTTAAATTTATTTCTATTTCGTTTATTCGGTTATTATTCCATATAACGTATTACATTATTATGTGAATTTGAATTATTATTAAAATGTCGCCAAATGTTGCGAGTCGGTACGGGAAGCGATGAGGGAAATTTTTTTATCCTAAAGTTGGTACCACGAAAACAAAATGGCGGAACGCGGCGGGTATCTATCGTTACGTCGATGAGCGTAAACAAGTTTTATTAGATTAATTTTATAATTCAAGTGAAGTTTAGATTGAATTTAATATTTTTATTACGTCATTTTAAATTAATTCGAGAATAATTTATAGAAATTTGAATTTTCGGTTCGGGAATATTCGTTGGAAAAGAATTTTTTTTTAAAAACGAAACAAAACGGAAGGAAGAAAATGATTTTAAAATTTGTTCTGTGGGAAAAAAAAATTTTTTTCTCTTTTTATTTTCTCTTTTTTTTTTTTTTGTGATATTATAAAGTTGCTTTGAAATTTTCGATTTTTTTTTATTATTTTGGCAAAATGCCTCGAAAAAAAAAAAAAAATTTCAGTTGAATTTCTGCTGGGGGCAGAACATAAATATTATAAATGAACGTGGAAAAAAAAAAAAA